TTTGCAAAACTGAGACTCATAAAGACTTTAAAAAAATGTTTTAAAAACTGAGGCTCATATGTATGCTGGTTTTATAGGAATTTGGTGTTCTAAATCCAAAAATGACCTCAGATTTATTCCACCCCATATTATTTTTTTCACAACTTGCTTTGCCATTTCTATATTGTAATATGTGACTGAATGAAATGGACCTTCAATGAATTATCTTTAAAAGAGTAAGAAGGGAATTAAAATATTCTAACAGACTTTTAAAAAACGTTAATACCTTGATATGAAACACAATCAGTTCAAAAGCACTAAAAGAAATTGCACTGGAACATCAGCATCCACACTTAATTAAAGCTAAGTAACCACTGAATTGATAAAAATATAAATTTGTGAAAGAACTCTGTATGGTGCAATATTTTTATTGTATTTTTTTAAATCAGCATGCAAAATTACATTTAAAAGCAGCTACAATATTGAAAAAAATCCTTAGTGCATATATATTTTACAAATATATATATTTGTATATATTTCTCTTATAGTTAACAAAAATAATTCCACCTGAAAGAAAATAATTTTTATCATAGCTAAAGAAAGCTGTATCTGAAACATCTTTATATCAACAGTCTATCTTTCTTTTGTAGAGATAGAACTGTAGTACCTTAAACTTTACTCACTGTCTACACCAGGGGTAGGCAACCTTTTTGAGCCAGGGGCTGGGTTGCTGTCCCTCAGACAATTGGGGAGCCGAAGCACCAAAAATAAATAAATAAAAAATAAATAAATAAAAATAAAATAAAAAAATAAAAAATATGCATGCACACTCTCTCAGCCCCAGAAAAGCCATGGCAAAACCCCTGTGGAGATTTTGCCAAGAAAACCCCAAGAACAAGTAATAACAACAATAATCAATATCATCATGGTGGGGAGCGGCGGGAGGCGGCGGTGGGTGGTGGTGGTGGCAGGACTGGCCTGGGGCCGATCCAAAGGCCTCAGGGGGCCACATCTGCCCTCTGGGCCTTAGGTTGCCTACCCCTGGTTTACACTACTTATCAGTTCAGTTGAAAAAAATCTTGATCCAGTACTAGTGAAATATTCAGTTTCACTGAAGGATTGTTTGCATTACCACAGACTAGACAACTATGTACAAGCATAGGTAGTGAATCTGTGTATAAACATATGTCTAAGTGCGTTTGTGTATGTATAGTGTAAACATATAATATAACTAAATTTTCCTCTTCACATCTCTGGAATTTATCATCAAGTTTGATTAGGTATATTAGTCCAGGAATAAACTACAGCTTTTTGTCTAGCTAAATGAGTTTTATCTGTAGATAACAAGCAAAAGATGAATTGAGCTCATTGAGGAACAGTGGGCCTTTTCACTCTACATAGTTATAGCACTTTGATTCTACTTTAACTAGATTTGTACGGTAGTTTAGTGAGACACTGAAGTGCTCTGGTTGAGAATCCTAAATATTCCTCCCAAAACTACACATTCCAAGATTCTATATGATGGAATCATGACAGGTCATGGAATCATAATGCTACAACTGTGTAGTAAGAAAAAGGCCTTGTGTTGGCTGCATCTAACATGGCCCAGATATTCCCATCCCTACAAAAAGGCTATACTCCTCTGTGCACTTCTAAGTCCCGCTGTACTGCACTTAATAAAAAGGGTTATTAAAATTAGAAAGAAGATCAGATATGAAGGGAAATCATTTACGGATCAAGAAAACATTAAGAGATTATTTAAAGAATATTATGATGACCTCTATAAAGAAGAAATAATAAAAGAAAATGATGCTAAGGCATTCAATTATATCTAGATAAACAAAAATTAAATCTATTAAATGAAGACCAGGAAAAAAAATTGAACAGACCTATAACTAGGAAAGAAATAATTGAGGAGATTGGAAAAATGAAACTAGGGAAGGCCCCAGGCCCAGATGGCCTAACAGCAATATATTATAAGAAAATGACAGAAGAAATAATAGAACCATTGAGAGAAACAATAAATAAAATTAATGAAGAAGGTATTCCAGAATCTTGGAAAGATGCATATATTTGTTTAGTATATAAAGAAAACAAAGAAAAAAAACAGACGTAAAAAACTATAGACCAATTTCATTAATAAATACGGATTATAAAATATCTGTGGCTATTATAGCAACTAGGTTGAAAAAATTCTCAGCTCGTTAATTCATGAAGATCAAAATGGGTTTTTACCTGGAAGACAAGCAAAAAACAATTTGAGAATAGTATTGAATATGTTAGAATGCTTTGAACACCACAACAAAAGAAAATTCACTATGATCATGCTAGACGCGGAAAAAGCTTTTGATAGGATTAAATAGGACTTTATGAAAGAATTATTTGAGAGTATGAAAATGGGAACGAAGTTTATACAATGGATAAATGCCATCTACAAAGATCAAAAAGCCCAAATTATAGTAAATAACGAAAGAACTGAAAGAATTAATATACAAAGAGGGACGAGACAGGGATGTCCCCTGTCTCTTCTATTGTTTATTACAATTTTAAAAGTATTGAATAATCAAATTAGAGAAGATTCTAAAATAAAAGGAGTAAAAGTAAAAGAACATATTTTCAAATTACTAGCCTTTGCTGATGACATCGTCTGTTTTCTAGAAGATCCGAAAGAAAGCACAGAAAGACTGTTAATGGTCATACAAGAATTTGGAAGCTTAGCTGGATTTCGATTAAATAAAGATAAAACATCAATACTGACAAACAATATAAACTTGAAAGAAGAAGAATTAAAGGAAATGACGGGCTTTAAAATAGAAAAGAAAGTGAAGTATTTGGGTATATATTTAACAAAGAGGAATATAGATCTATTTAAGAATAATTACCAAAAAACATGCCAGGACTACAAAATTTACACTATGCCAGGACTACAAAGAAAACTATATAAAAATGCTTTATCGATGGCATTTGACACCTACAACATTAAACAAAATATATAAAACAGGAAAGGAGAAATGCTGGAAATGCCAGAAAGTAGTAGGTACATTCTACCACCAATGGTGGGAATGTAAAGAGGCTAGGCGATTCTGGAAAATGATTCAAAACAAAATTCTAAAAATCTTAAAGACCCAGATAACATTGGATCCTATGGTCTTTTTACTAAACATAATAAAGCCAATAAAAGCAGATTTAGATAAAAAATATCATAGAATATTGCTATATATCGTCACTTCGTCAAGAATAGTATATGCAAAGTATTGGAAACAAACAAAAATACTAACAGAACGGGAATGGGAACAAAAAATGAGAGAAGCGATGGAGGCAGATATACTAAC